TGTGCCATGCTACTATCTCTGAAATTTTGCCCTCATCTATCCCACATCTATTTCCTCACGCCTGGTCGTTTCTTTTCATATTTAACATAGACACATTTCTCTTTAGGTTTTTCTCAAAGCTGTTGATGTTTGCCAGTAAGACAACAAGAGACTACCAGAAAAACACTGTACATCAGAGTACACCCTAGATTTCATCTCTGACCAACAGCTGGCTAAATTTCTTTTTTTTTTTTTTAAGAGAACATAACTGAAGGCAGTTTAGAATGGTTTCTTTTGTTCAAATTTCCCCTCTCAGCGGCCATTCCCAGGAGTTCCTTCACCTGCATTATCCATTAATGCTGGGGATTCATTTCCCCAAATAAACAAGTCTTCCTGCCAAAGAAAATACTCACCAAGATTGGAGGCAGGGATGTGTCTCGGGGCCTGCTTTTGAGGCGTGCCTCTCATTTTTTTCTTGGTTGGACCTCCATCTCCATTCTGCTCTTAGCAGTGAGTGTGAGGCTGCAGCCCTAATTTCCTAAGGCCCTTCACTGCTTTATTAATCCTGCATGGGGCCATCCAGCCCTCTTGAAAGCATCCTTCATTTCTGTTTGCTCAGTTTCCTGAATGCCTCTTTCAGATCATCTTTCACGTCTTACTTTAAGCTCTGGGGACACATGTGGTTTCTACATAATGCACAGATGTGCTTGGGGGTGGGGAAGTCTGGCTGTATACTCGTATACGAAAGTCAGTGTGCTAAACTCCAAAATGGGGAGGGGATTCTCTTTGAGTGGGCAGTTCAGGAAAGAGAGGAGGCAGAAAGATCCAAAGCAACCTCAGGCTTTGCAGATTTCCCACCCACCATGGATCAGAGATGTGTTCCACATTGTAAGGAAAGCTAAGCTCCTGTGATCCTGATCACCATAAATTGCACTTAGATTTGATTACAAATAGAATGTTCAGTAGAAAAGGGACCACTGACCAAAACTTATATAGGGACAAGAATTCTAGAAGTTCTTCACTCTTTTCCCCTTACCCAAATGTTGATCACCAGAGGTCAGCAAAGTTTAGTTTCAACTTTGGGGGCCATATGGTTTCTGTAATTGTTCAACTCTGTCTGTGTCACTGTCATATAGACAATATGTAAATAGATGAATGTGGTGGCTGGCCACAGTTTCTCTCTCCCAGGCCCTCTCTCCCCAGTGTAAATTCATAAAACCTGCAAACATCCTCATCACCATTGTTTGCACAAAGTGGAGAGTTTTTTCCTATGTGCATTTGAGCTCAAATTATCACATTTATCCCTTCAAACTGACTTTGTGAGCTTATCCATAGTACTGAACCCATTTTATAGACAGGAGGCTTAGAGAAATTAAAGAAATTAAATAATATCAGTAAAAGCCAGATATACAGATAGCTGTACTCCATCCTCATGCTCTTTCCCATCAAGCTTTACCAGTGCCTTTGGAAGTTACTTCTGCCGGTAGATCTTGCTGTCAGCCTGTATTTGGTCTTTAACATCCATACAGGGACCACCAAATATAGACAATTGCTGAAAACACTTGTGGATTAAGATTAAATTGGTAGCAAGAACTTTAAAAATAAGTCTATAATCAGCTAGGTACAATAGCTCACATCTATAATTTCAGCTGCTTGGGAAGCTGAGATCAGAGGGTTAAGGTTCAAAGGCTAGACTGAGCGTGAAATCTACAGAAAAAGTTAGGTATGGTGATGTGTGCCTGCCATCCCAGCTATGTAGAAGCACAAATAAGAGGATCATGGTTCAGACCAGTCCAGGCATGAAGGCAAAGCCCTATTGGAAAAAATAACGAAAACCAAAAGGGCTAGTAGAGTGCCTACATAGTGAGCACAAGGCCCTGAGTTAAGATCCCAGGATCACAAAGACAGGGGGCCGTGGGCCATCCACTAGAAAATTAAAAGAAGCCATGTACTAGCTAGTTACTTCAGAGGCTGAGATCTGAAGATTTTTGAAGCCAGCCTAGATAGGAAAGTCCATGGGACTTTTCTCTCCATTAAAATTCAGAAGTAGAGCGGTAGCTCAAGTGATCAGAGTGCTAGTAGGCCCGCCCTCTCCATCTAACATGTTAACAATTTTACATTTGCCTGTTCTCAGTCTTTCTCTCTGTGCATGCATACACATCTGTATTCACATGATTAATGCGGGTTAGTATTAGTAAAACCTAAACTCTACAATTCCTTAATGAGCTATAGACTTATTTAATATGTAATAGAAACTTTTGAACTGAGAATGTAGCAAAGTGCTTGGCTAGTATGTGTAAGGTCCTAGGTTCCAGTCCCATCAAAAAATAAGTTAAAATTTAAAGCAACTCATAGGTATATAAATTAGACTGGAAACTAATTCCCTCCATCTCCGCCTGTTGCATTCGGGTCAATTATGCTTTCTTTACAGGTATGTGCCAGGTCTGAATTGCTAGGGAACATTTTGACAAATACATAGCTTGCCATTTTTATGAAGGAAGAAATCTGTCAAAGCCAAGGAAGTCATGTTTCCAGGTTCATAGTCAGACTTGTCATTCTGGGTTAGTGCGGCTGTGATGTGACGTGGTATGGGGACTGTCCTCACTTTTCAGAGCCAGTTTGCAGTCTCAGGAGGCAGTGTCCTTTAACACTGGAGTTGGCTGAGGTGGGAACGCTAGGCCAGGACACCCTTCCTTTACTTTCTCACCTGAAGGGACGCTGTAGTGGTTCCAGGCATTCGTAGGAACTCTGTTTTGTTTGCTGTGGTGACTTGCCACGCTTTTGCAGTGCATCAGAATGGATAGCTTTTTGAAATGACATCTAGTTTCAATGGTGGTTTCACTCAACATGCGTCTGTATCTAGATTTTTTTTCTGACTATGAAATCAAAGCCCCTTTCCTCTCCCACATGGTTAAAGTAACCCCATTTGAGCATGAAGTGAGCTAAGCAAACACTGCCACTTTACAAAGGGCTTTGTTAGTGTAAGGGACTCTGGACTTGACTTACATAACCTCTCATGGAGGGTTTCCAAAGCCATAAAAGGAAGCTGGAAATGGTCACCTCTCCTTTATAATGTTAACATTGAACTCATGAACAAGGCCTGGGCTTGTATCCTCTAAGAATGCATAAGGAAACAGCCACGAGATAGTCTTGAGAGGAGGAGGTAGCAGGCATTGATTCAGAGGGTTGATATAGCCTTGACACCTGGATCACACCTTCCAGCTAGAAGGCTAAATCAACTTCAAGTTCAGCTCCCACACCCACAGGGGTCACACTGTGCTTGATGTTTCTGCTCCCTCAGCCTCCTCTCCTACTCCCCATTCACATGTGTGGTAGCTTCATGCCTAACTAATTAGACAAATTTTTTTTCAGGTACAAATTAGGTCATAGAAACTGAAATCATTTTCAATTTTAAAATTAGTTATGAAAACTTCCAATGATACCTAAAGGACCAAAGAAAATGTCCGTCCTTCCTTCCTTCCTTCCTTCCTTCCTTCCTTCCTTCCTTCCTTCCTTCCTTCCTTCCTTCCTTCCTTCCTTCCTTCCTTCCTTCCTTTGATTTAACTTCCTTCCCTTTCATCTGTCTTGGGGCTTGAACTCTGGTCCTGGGCGCTGTCCCTCAGCTCTTCAGCTCAAGGCTAGTGCTCTACCACTTGAGCCACGGCACCACCTCCTAAAGGTGTAGCTTAGGCTGGTCTCAAAGGCTGGTCTCAAATGTGATCCTCCTGCCTCATTCTCCTCATTGAATACCGGCCTGTGTGTTGAGTTTAGCTTTATTCCTTGGAGGGCACAGCTGGACAAGATCAAGGTCTTTGTTGTGATGGCAAGTATTCAAGAGAAGTTGTTGCATGTGGTCCTGGGAGTTTCTAAGTATGAAGTTATAAGTACAATGCATCTTGATTAATGGCATCCCTCCCATCTCTCTCCCATTTTTCCCTCCCATCTCTACTCTTAAGTTACAGAGCTCCATTTTTATATATTGTCCAATGCTTCACATATTTGTTTACTCTTCTCTCTTTTTGTTTTATTAACTGATTTTTATTTGTTTGTTTTGATGCCATCCTGGGGCTTGAACTCAGGGCCTAAGTGCTGTCCCTGAGCTTCTTTTGCTCTACCATTTGAGCCACAGCTCCACTTGCAGCTCTTTTTGGTAGTTTAGTGGAGATAAGACTCTCACAGGCTTTCCTGCCCAAGCTGGCTTCAAATGATCCTCAGATCTTAGCCTGATGAATAGCTAGGATTACAAGCATGAGCCACCTGCGATTTGCCTGTTCTTTGATTAAAATATTCATAACAAATCCTGGATGTCCTATCATTTTATCCCATTCTTCAGTATACCTCTCTAAAATGTGGACCTTTTTAAAAGATAATACTGCCATCCTACCTAACATTCATACCAAGGCTAAAAATAATAATTTAATTAACTTTTTGAAGACAAGATCTAACTGTCTCATCCTCTGTTTTAGCCTCCTAAGACTGGGATCACTATTATATGCCACCACACCCAGCTCCAAAATTTTGATGTGTAGTCTTTTTTCTCATAGCTCCTGCAACTGATAACCTTAGAACACAAAGTCAACAAAGGTCATCCATTGCCTATTCTGGTTCAGCTAATAGCTGCAGAAGAGAAGGAGCTTTGCTCCTTACTGTTACTTTGTTTGGGGCTAGGGGTTAGTAAACAGCTCACACTTGTGGTTCTGCATACTGTGACCTTAGATATTGAGCTGTGCTCTACTTCCTAGGCATTTCAGACTTTCCTCAATGATTGATAATCATAACTTACAGGAATTTTTTAAACAATATTTTAATTGGAAAAAGCATCTGTCAGCTGTCAGGCTTCCAGTTTCCACTTTTGAGAAGCAGGATGTTGAATGTGAGTAATGACACAACAGGCCTATAAAATGCGGACTAACCCTGGGATGACTCATCCAGTACAATGCAGTATATTTGTCAAGGAGACTGAATCATATATGGGGGAAACCACTTCTCAAGCAGCCAGCTGGTTCTCAGGTCAGCCAGAGACAATCCATTTTTATCAAAAGCTTTAGAGTAGCAATAATGCTAATACCCAGCACTTGGGCTCCACGATGTAGAGGAGATGGCATCTCCCGGCAGGTATGTGCTTACTGTTTACGTGAACTTTAATTTCTCCTTTTTTCTCTTCGGCTTAACCTTTCCACTGTTTGCTTTTCAACATTTTCTTACAGGAGAAAATTCATTGCAATTATAAAGAACTGGTGTGTGTGTATTTGCGTGTGCATGTGTGTGTATGTGTGTGTGTGTGTGTGTGTGTGTGTATGTGTCCATCCACGTGCAAGGATAGATGAGTAGCCACAGGATAGATAGGTATAGCCTCTCATCTTCCTTTCAGGAAACAAATGTCTCCTTAGATGTTCAGATAAAAATGGTTCTAACCCATCTCTTTTATTAATCCTGAATCTAAAATAGAGGCTGCCTAGGAAACAGCTTTCAAGGTTGATGTACCTTAGGTGTGTAGCTTAGAGCCTTAAAGACATGACTATCAAGGGGGACTAAATGCTCTGATGTTCACTAGTATATTAGGGTGGGTTATCTTTCAGTGTGGTGCTTTTTTCCTGTCCTATAAGATGCATAACTTAAAGCAGGGAAGATTTCTTCCCCTTCTTTGTGAATAGTTATTTTTTGCAGGTCTCAATTTGCTCATTCTGAATTCATGCATTAACTTTTCCAAGGTGGGAGAAAGGGTAATGGGGATTTGGTAGCAACAGTTAATTATAGCCTTCCCATGCTCTGCAGGATCATTCTGCATAATTGGGAGGCTGTGTCTGCCTGTCTGACCTTCTCCCTTCCTTCACTCACTAAATTTAAACAATGCCTGACTAGTTAAGGCACATCTCTTGTTTATTTGAGTGTGTTAAACATTCCTATGTGTGTTAACAGACTATTCAGTGTCTCCTCATATTTTTAAAAGTTACTTTTTTTGAGTCCTATTTGTGAGGGACAGATGCTATAGTTAGTTTATAGAAATACTATTTATGCTTTCCTGGTCTGTCTGTCCAGAATGGCTGGGTCACGACCTTTAACATGACTGCCCACAAATTTGCCTAGGATCTAGCAATGGTGGAATAGTCACAACTGTCGGTGACTGTTTCTCACCCCAAGAGTGTCAAGCAGACCTGGGGTTACCAAGCTGGGAAAATAGCCTTTGTTCCCCTTCCCCTTTCTGGTAATGTCTTGCTTTCCTTGAGGTATATGAATTTGGAACTGTTGGTAAATACATTTTATTTACTGCATGCATTACATTCCGAGCTTCATATGCAATTTGTAGGAAAGTTTGGTGTGTTTCTATCTGTTTGGTAGATTAAAGGGTGTACTTTTTTAGAATGGTCTGTTTTGGGAGACCGGACCACCTAAATTTTATTAATTTTGCATTCTATAAATGAAAGCCACCTGTTATGCTGTAACATGCTAATAATGGTAGAGGACAATAATGAGGAAGAACAGTATTCGAAATATGTGGGGCTTTTGCTAAGAATTTGCCTGCCCACATCTGTAGTGCTTATTTTTATGTGCATATGTGTATACATGCATATAGTACATATTTAATAATAGCATTTGGTGCTATTAAAAACACTTAGGATTCAAAGTGAAGACCCGTTTCCATTCCCTCTCATTAATAGTTACATTTTTAAAGCTATTGAACAGAAGCTACTTTAAAAAATATTAATATGAATTAAAGCTAGTACTTGGCAATGTTAAAGTAAATGGTGGTTCTCTTGCCGTTTTTTTTGAGGGAGTGTCAGTTTGGGGGCTTGAACTCAGGTCCTGGTGCAGTCCCAGAGCGTTTTTCCTCAAGCATACAGCTGTACTTCCAGCTTTTTGGTGCTAATCAGAGATAAGAATCTCACAACTTCCCTGTCCAGGCCAGCTTTAAACCTCGACCTCCAGGTCTCAGCCTCCTGAACAGCTAAGATTGTAGGCACGAGCTGTTAGTGTCCAGCTCACTTTTGTCAAGTGAAAAATAATGTGAGTTGGTTTTGTTTTATCTTGAACTCACAATTCCTCATTTTCTCTGATTTCACTGAAGTATTAGGCTCCATTATATTGCTTTTCCCCCTTGAGCCCTACTGAAAGTAATTGCAAGAAGGGATGTAAAACTCTTCTTTGAAAGCTCTTGATTTATTGATGTTTTCTGTGGGAAAGTCTTGTTGCCTATGATTTTGTGTCATTGTGCTCAGGTCCCATCCAGGTTCTTTGCAGAGCATTGTAGATTTCTTGTGGCAGTGTTCACCACTTTGGGGGTTGTGGTTCTCCCTTGGAAGCCCCTCTGCTATCAAGCACTGTAAGACCATGTGGGTTTTTAGAGTCGTTGTTTCCCTTTGAGGGAAGAATACTGAGCCACAGCCGGAACCAAAGGTCTATCATTCGACTTGGAAGCAATCGATAGCTATTGACTGAGTCGTGCCTGTGTCCAGAGCCATGTGCTGAGTAGTGTTGAATTAAGGCCCAGCCCTGTGCTTGCTTCAGCTACTGCTGTAGTGGGATTCATCATTACTGACATTACATTCAACCCAGGGTTTTCTTTTATTCATAAATTTACTGGAATGTATAATCCAGAGCCATTAATTGCCACATACAAGCAGCTTTGAGCTGTTTGTTCCCTTTTGACTCCTAGAGAGAAACTGAGAAGGAATCATACTGTTCCAAAATTCCACTCGATGGCTTGGGTAAGCATGTTGTCTGAGCCAAGGTGAGTGACACAACCTTGGACAAAAGATTTTTCTTTTTATTTCTTTTCTTTTTCTCTGATTCTTGGAGTGGGGGTGGTGATGACAGTCAGAGAGCATTTGAATCCTGAACACATCCTTGTTTCCCAGTCTTTACTAGTTTCAAGACCCTTCCTCTTTAGGGACCCTATTAAAATTACATTTCACTGAGTCAGAGCTATGAATTCAGTAAAACCATTTCATAAAAGGTTTGTTTAAAAATCATACTGCATTATCTATGAATATTTAAAATTTCCTTACTCGCATTAGTGTATGGAGCCACGGTCGTTTGTTCTTACTATATATATGAATAAGGTGGGGCTGGGACCATGGCTCCCACACCAAGCCTGATCTATCCATTCCCTCCCTTCTACATCATTCTCCTACACAGTAATGGGATATGTAACACTTGTAGGCAAATCCTGTATCATTACCTGGGAATGGTAGAGATGAGCATAGTGCAGGCTTCTTAAAGAGATAAACCTCTCTCACTGCTCAGTATTGAACCCAGGGCCTGACTTGCTCAGTAAGCAGTCTAGCACTGAGCTATCTCCTCTTACACCAGCATAGATGGTCACTAGAGTGCATTGTTTCAGGCATAAGTTTGCTGATAGTTTGTTGCATTAACTATGCAGTTTATCCTGGGGAGGGTTGGAAGGGACAGTTGTACCCATTTTCCAGTCGGGTTCTTAATCACCATTTCCTCATGACTAGTGATCATAGAGAAAGCTGATGCTTCAGAACGAGGCTGGAAATTCAGCCCTGAAAAGAACCTTTGGCTTGGGATGAGAGTAGTACATTCTTTACTGTACATTCTGAAAGTGGTGTAGGAAGTAGGCTGTGTCTGCCTCTGAGTTCAATGTACACGATGATGTCTCTCTTCAGATTTCACCCCAAGACATGATTTTGTGTTCAATATTCGCTCATAGTTGTGAAGGTTTCTCAGAGCAGAGGATCCCAGATAGGTTTGGATTTTTCTTCTTCTCCCTTTTTTTTTTTTTTGCCAGCAATAGGGCTTGAACTCAGCCTAGGCCACTGTCCCTGAGCTCCTTTTGCTTAAGATTAGTGCTCTACCACTTTGAGCCACAGTGCCACTTCCAGATTTCTGGTGGTAAATTGGAGGTGAGTCTCACAGATTTTTCTACCCAGGTTAGCTTTGAACTATGATCCTCACATCTCAGCCTCCTAAGTAGCTAGTAGCACAGGCATGAGCTACCAAGTACTTGCTGCTGCCTCTTCCTCCTCCCTCCTCCCTCTTCTTTCTCCTCCTCTTCCTCCTCCTTTTTAAAATACTAGCACTGGGACTTGAACCCTTACTTGTCTTTTTTGCTCAAAGCTGGTGGTCTACCACTTGAGCCATACCTCATTTGGAGATAAGGCTGTTATGGACTTTTCTGCCTTGGTTGGCTTCGAATCTTGATCCTTAGATTTTAGCCTTTTGAGTAGATAAGACTATTGGTGGGAGCTACAAGGCTGGGCTTGGTTTTTTGTTTGTTTGTTTTTGTTTTTTGGGTCCGTCGTGAAGCCTGAACTCTGGGCCTGGGCGCTGTCCCTCAGCTCTTCAGTTCAAGGCTAGCACTCTACCACTTGAGTCACAGTGCCACTTCCGGCTTTTTTCTTTTTGCTTATGTGGTGCTGAGGACTCGAACCCAGGGCCTCAGGCATGCAAGGCAAGCGCTCTACCACTGAGCCACCTTCCCAGCCCCTGGGCTTGGTTTTTTATTCTTTGGTTTTGTTTGTTTGGTTTTTTTTGTGGGGGGTTTTTTGGTGTGGTTTCTTTCAAGCACATCTTCCTCGTTCCCCATTCAGTGAGGATCTGGGTTGCCCTCATTGCTCTGGCCTGGTGGGGCCTTGCTGTTGGACTGGGCCTCTTGAATTCCATTAACTAGAGCTCACACCGCATGTGTCATAGAGGCTGCCTGGGAAGGGTGAAGAGCAAAATTAGTGTCCGTGGGTGGGCATGCGTTCCCATCACAGTGCCAAAGAATGCAGTGTGCAAAATCTGGCAGGAACTTGTTCCAAAGAAAAACAAAACAGCCCCCCACTTTTTTTTTGCTTTAATATTTAAAAATGCCACTAACTCTCTCATAGAAGAAATGAGAATGTTAGCAAACCCTTGCAAATGTTTAATTATCTTTATCACTAAGGTTAGAGTAGATAGGTTCTGGAGGATTTTGTCACTTGTGTCCTAACATGGCAAATGTTCTCTGAGATTATCTAGGGTTTAGAGGAATTTGTTAAAGCCAACAATTAGGGAAAATTTTTATTCTGCTTAGTAATGTGGTCTTCTTTGAAATGATCCTTTTCATTTTTATCTCAGCAACACCAATACCAAAGAAATGTTTGTGCTTTTGATATTTGTGATTTGCC